TCGTTCTCGCTATCGCTGCTGCAGCCATCACTGTCCTCGTCGGGGGCGGGCAGGCGCTCGATCCATCCGAGAGCGGGCTTTGGTGAAGCCGCTGCCCCCAGCCCGCGCGACTCGCACGCCGAGGATCGGCGTGATGTGCCCGACGCGGACGGCAGCGGGGACTGCCAGCTGCACGACGAGCGAGCGTACGGGGACGGCTTCGAGATGAAGGGGGAAACGTTCGAGGGAGATTGTGGAGGGAGAGGGTGGAGGAGGGTGGTGGGCGGCGCCTTGACGACGGCGAGGCACATGGAGAGGGTGTGTCTTGAGGTGGTGCAGTAGTCGCGCGTGCGGACGTAGCACTTGAGCGCGGTGGCGAAGTCGCCGCGCGAGGCGTGGAAGTCGCCCAGGTCGGAGTGCCCCATCCGGATCGACTCCTTGACCAGCGACGTCTTGTGCGACGCGAGGTCCGACTCAAGCTTGTCGAGGCGTGCGGAGGCCTTCTTCTCGACCGAGTCGACCCACGCGTCGTCGCGGGCCACCGGGCAGCCCTCCGTCGCGCACAGCTCCTGGTACAGCGCCGTGTTTACGCCCTGCCGCGCCTGCTCCACCGCGATGCGCAGAGCCTCCGCTCGCAGCGTGGGCTCGTGCTGCGCGATGAACTGCAGCCGCTTGAGCCGCGTGTGGCCGGCGTACGCCGCGATGTAGCTCTCCATCTCGGAGGAGGGGCGGGACGAGGACATGGCCGAGCAGGCGGCGCGCGGAAGCTGCGGGATGAGACAAGCAAGAGCGCGAAAATAAAGAAAAATGGCTGCCGTGTGGTGTTCATTCGCCTTAACTAACTAACTACCCTGTTCATTAGCTCCGAGTAGAGGGGGCGTCCTGCAGTGAAGGGGAAACCCGGTACGCGGGGCCAACCCTCGGAGACCCGTGTTTAATTTACGGCCCTTTCCCTGCGAACGCGCACCCCCAAGGCTAGGGCTCTCTCTCTAGCCCGACGTTGAGGAAAGGACCCTCGTTGAGCGGCGGCGCGACGGGGCAGACATCGCGAGAAAAAGAAAAAAGTCCCCCTATTTTAGAATCTTACAACAGGCGACTCTCGCGAAGGCACGGCTGGCAACCGTGGCGTGGGGCTGCGTTCGACAAGACCGGGATCGCTCTACCGGCACACCTCTCGCTGACATGCGCGCCCCGTCGAGCTGACCGCGGGCGCGCTGAGGTCGCACGCCAAGCCAAGTGGCGGTCGCGCAAAGTGGGCACGTCCAGGGTCATCAGCAGCGAGCGAGGGCGGGCCGCCCTCCTCCCCCTCCGCCGGCGCCGCGCCGCCGGTGGAAACCTCCTCCACTGGGCTGGGCCGCTCAGCAGCCAAACCCGCCGCGGTGTCGGGCACCTTCTCAAGCCCTCCCCCGCGACCCCTGGCGCCACGGCCGCGCCGCCCTCGGCGGCGCCGCGGCGCCTTCCGCCCGCCCTCGACCTCCTCCTCCCCCCCGCGGCAGCGATCGTACCATCGCCGCTCTCCGGCAGCGCGGGCTCCAAGGGGTCCAAACTGGATCCTCCCACCTCCGGACCCACCTTCTGCGGCCTGCGCGTCGCAGGCACCGCCGTCCGCCTCTTGGGGGCGCGCGCCCCGCCGCGGCCCTCGCCGCCAGCCGCTGCCCCGCCACCAGCCGCCTGATCGCCAGCCGCCACCCCAGCTGGGGTGTCGCCCAGCGACAAGCCGCTGAGGGATGCCAAGACCGCAGCTGCGTCCCCCCAGCCCCGCCGGCCGAGAAGAGCCCGGCGGAGCTTCTCCGCCTGGCGGTCGTGGATGTTGAGCGAGCCGATGCCCTTCTCAGCGACCTCCTCGAGGAGGTCGCCAGCGTCGCCAACGCCCAGCTCCGCGAGCCGCCCCTCATACCTGCTGTAGAGGTTGTCGGCGACGCGCGCGCGCTTGAACAGAGCCGCGAGCGGCTCTCCCAGGTCGATGGCGGGTGAGGCCGCCATCGAAGGCCTCTAGGCCTGGTGCCCGGCCGCGTGGCCCCCGGGCTGCGGGTGGGTGCTCGCTGTGGCGGCCGCCGAGAGGGCAGAGAGCGGCGGCAGGCCGCCGACGTCGTCGACAAAGAATTCTACGAATACAAGCCCCTCTCACAGCAGACTGGCACGAACTAGCACCACAAAAGGCACAGCAGACAACGAGAAAGAATTTTACAACAAAACTCCCTCGCACAACACTGGGCACGGGACTGGCGCGCACTGGCACTAACACAGGTACACCACGGGAGCCGCCTACTCGAGTAAGCGACTCCTGCGAGGGTGGCGAGGCACTTAGCTCCGTGCACCCGCCCACCCCCGCCACAGGCAAGCTCATTCACGACCTGCTCTGCGATGGCCGTGTGAAGAACGACTGAGATGCGCTGCTTCTGCAGCCCCAGCCCGCTCTTGGTGGGAGATCTCTCTCTCTCTCTCTCTCTCTCTCTCTCTCTCTCTCTCTCTCTCTCTCTCTCTCGCTCTTGGTGGTCCAAGTCACCTCATCGAGAAAGAATTCAACAAAAAGAACTCTCTCGCAGAGCACACAGGTTCGACACAGGTACCAAAAGAGGCACAGCCTGCGACGGACCTTTAGAAGGCGCCGTCGTCCTCATGGAGGTGGGCACGATCGGGGGGACAGTCGAATCCGCGAGCACCGTAGTGCTCGCCGAAAAGACCATCCCCATCATCCCAACCCCCCCGGCGACCCCCTCGCCGCTTGCCCCGCCAGCGGGCACTGCGCGACCCACCCCCGCGCCCTCGACCGCGCCCCCCGCCAGGAGCATATCGCATCACCACCGCCCGATCCTCGTCGAAGAGCAGAATCTTTCCCGCCTTCACCAGCTCATCGAGAAAGGTGCGGCGTGGCGTGTGCGTGTGTGCGACTGCAACGAAGGACCGCTCGCAGAGGACCATTGGGTTTGTACTATTTACAACGAAGGCGCTCTCAAAAAAGAAAGAAACTCGACGCGGCCCGCGCTCTTGACGGCGCCGCAGATCCACAAGGCCGCCTCTCCCGCCCCGCCTCTCCCGCCCCGTTCTTTGCCGCCCCCCCGCCCCGCCTCCCTCCCTCCCTCCCGCCCACTTCGCCGCGCCCCTCTCGCCTGCTCCACAGACAAATGGCGGACACCGTGCAGGACATGGAGACGGACGGCGCCAAGATCGACGAGGCGCTGTACAGCCGCCAGCTCTACGTGCTTGGGCACGAGGCGATGCGCAAGATGATGGCATCGAGCGTGTTGGTACGGACCCTCGCTCCTCCCCCTCTCCCGCCTCCGCCTCCCTCCCTCTCCTCCGCCACCGCCTCCCTTGCTGCCGCCTCCTTGCCGCCGCCGCCCTCAGATCCCGCCTCCCGCACCTCCGCCCCCCTCGGCGCCGCATGCCCTCGCCGCCGCGCGCATGCAGATTGTCGGCCTGCGGGGCCTCGGCGTGGAGATTGCGAAGAACGTCGTCCTCGGCGGCGTCAAGAGCGTGACGCTCTACGACCCTGCACCGGCCACTCTCGCCGACCTGTCTGCGCAGTTCTTCCTGCGCGAGGAGGACGTGGGCAAGCGGCGCGCCACGGCGACGGCGCCGCGGCTCGCCGAGCTCAACCAGTACGTCCCCGTCGCCGAGCTCGAGGGCGACCTCACCGCCGACGCCATCGCCTCCTTCGGGATCGTTGTTGTGACGGGCGCGCCGCTGCGGCGAGGCGACCCGCCTTGAAGTAGCCTTGCAGGAGGGATGCAGGAGCCTCCCTTAGGCGCGCCGCTCGGCGAGGCGACGCGCATCAACGAGGCGTGCCGCAAGTCCGGGGGCCGCTTCATCCTGGCAGACACGTACGGCCTCTTCGGCGGCCTGTTCTGCGACTTCGGCGCCGCGCCTTTGAGGACCCAGCGGCGGACGCCGTGAATCGAAGAGCCGTGAATGGGAGAGCTGTGAACAGGCGCCGCGTTTGAGGTCGTCGACGCGGACGGCGAGGAGCCGGTGAGTGGGATGCTATTAATCAACTGTTAATTAACGATTAATTAACGATTGATTAGGCGAGGAGCCGGTGAGTGGGATGCTCACTTCGGTCTCGCAGGACGAGGAGGGCGTCGTGACGAGGCACGGCGAGACGAGGAGTCTTGAATACTGAACTACGATTCATTGGTCAATTAGGAGGGCATCGTGACGATGCATGACGAGACTCGGCGCGACACTTCCCAGACACTCCCTAGACACCTCCTAGACACTTCCTAGACACTTCCTAGCTTCCTAGATGCATGACGAGACTCGGCGCGTACACTCTCGGACCACGTCTGCCGAGGACCCTTCCAGGACCCTTCTTGGAACCTTCTAGGCACGGCCTCTCGGACGGAGACCACGTCTGCTTCACCGAGGTGCAGGGCATGACCGAGCTCAACGGGTCCGGCTCCCGCCCGATCAAGGTGCTCGGCCCCTAAGTGAATCCGTTTAATCAACTAGTTTAGTGAACGGGTCCGGCCCCCGCCCGATCGAGGTGCTCGGCCCCTTCTCCTTCTCCATCGGGGACACGAGCGGCTACGGCGCGTACACGTCCGGGGGGTACATGCACCAAGTCAAGCAGAAGCAGTCGGTCTCCTTCCTCCCCCTCCCGCAAGCTCTCGCTGCGCCCGACTTCCTCGTCTCGGACTTCGCGAAGTTCGAGCGGCCGATGCAGCTGCACCTCGGCTTCCAGGCTCTTCAACGCACCGCTCTTCAACTCACCGCTCTTCAACTCACCGCTCTTCAACTCACCGCTCTTCAACTCACCGCTCTTCAACTCACCGCTCTTCAACTCACCGCTCTTCAACTCACAGCTGCATCTCGGCCTCCAGGCTCTCGACGCCTACCGCTCAGCCCACGGGCAGCTGCCCCCGCCCTCCGACGCCGCAGCCGCAGCCGAGGTGCTCACACGCGCGCGGGAGCTGCCCGGCGCCGTCGAGTCGCTCGGCGCGGCCGGCTCCCCGGAGGCGGAGGCGTCGGAGCGGCTGCTTCGCAACCTGGCGTCCGGGGCGCGGGGCGAGCTCGCGCCTGATTAACTCTGAACTCACTCTTCATGAGCTGGTCATTAGGCGTCTGGGGCGCGGGGCGAGCTCGCGCCGATGTGCGCCATCTTTGGCGGCATGGCTGCGCAGGAGGTGATGAAGGCTGCCAGCGGCAAGTTCATGCCGCTGAAGCAGTGGCTCTACTTCGACGCGGAGGAGTGCCTGCCTGCCGACGGCAAGGAGGCGCTTCCGCCCGCAGAGACGGCGCCGCGCGGCTCGCGGTACGACTCGCAGGCTCTTCTTTCACAGCTCTTCCACTCACAGCTCTTCTATTCACAGCCCGCGGCACGACTCGCAGGCTCTTCTTTCACAGCTCTTCCACTCACAGCTCTTCTATTCACAGCTCGCGGCACGACTCGCAGGCTCTTCTTTCACAGCTCTTCTATTCACAGCTCTTCCACTCACAGCTCTTCTATTCACAGCTCGCGGTACGACTCGCAGGCGGCGGCGCTCGGCTGGAGCACGCAAGAGAAGCTCGGCTCGCTGCGCTACTTGCTCGTCGGGGCGGGCGCGATCGGGTGCGAGATATGGCGAGATGTGGCGAGATGTGGCGAGATGTGGGGAGATATGGCTACTTGCTCGTCGGGGCGGGCGCGATCGGGTGCGAGAGCCGCTCTCTCTCTCTCTCTCTCTCTCGGGGAGGGCGGGGGAGCCGTCTCTGCGCTGTGTCTGAAGTTGCCAGGAGCCTGCTGGGGTAGGTGCGAGATGCTTAGGAGCCTTCTAGGAGCCTTCTGGGAGCCTTCTAGGAGCCTTGCTCTGCTGAGCTAGGTGCGAGATGCTCAAGAACTGGGCGATGATGGGCATCGGCTGCGGCGAGGGCGGGCACGTCACGGTCACCTAAGTAGCTCTGAATGACCTCTGGAGGAGCTCTTACTTAGGCGAGGGCGGGCACGTCACGGTCACCGACCCAGACACAATCGAGAAGTCGAACCTGAACCGCCAGTTCCTCTTCCGCCCGTGGGACGTGACCAAGGCAAAGTCGGCGTGCGCCGCGGCGGCGATCGGGGCGATGAACCCGGCGGCCAAGGTGGCGGCGAGGCTCGACCTAATTAACTCTTAATTAACTCCTACCTTAGCTCTTAATTAGGCGGCCAAGGTGGAGGCGAGGCTGGATCGGGTGGGCGCCGAGACAGAGGGCATCTTCGACGACGCCTTCTGGGGCCGCCTCTTTTATTCAATCATGTAATAATTAGCTAATTAACTAATAAGGCATCTTCGACGACGCCTTCTGGGGCCGCCTCTTTTATTCAATCATGTAATAATTAGCTAATTAACTAATCAGGCATCTTCGACGACGCCTTCTGGGGCCGCCTCTCCGGCGTGTGCAACGCGCTGGACAACGTGCAGGCGCGGCTGTACGTCGACCAGCGCTGCATCTACTACCAAAAGTCGCTCCTCGAGAGCGGCGCGCTCGGCCCAAAGGGGAACGTGCGGCTGTGAACGGCGTCTCTTCACACCCGCGGGGTTGTGAACAGGCACGCTCGGCCCGAAGGGGAACGTGCAGGTCGTCGTCCCGAAGCTCACCGAGAGCTACGGCTCGTCTCGCCACCCCGCCCGAGAAGTCTTCATCAGCTCTTAATTAGCTCTTAATCAGCTCTTAATTAGGCTCGTCTCGCCACCCCGCCCGAGAAGTCTGGATGAGGTGGGAAGCAGCTCTGAATCAGCTCTGAATCAGCTCTTGATTAGGCTCGTCGCGAGACCCGCCCGAGAAGAGCATCCCGGTCTGCACGCTCAAGAACTTTCCGAACCAGATCGAGCACACCATCCAGCGCAGCCGCGACTGCTTGAATTCACTCTCGTGATTCACTCGTAATGAGCTCTGACTTAGGCACACCATCCAGTGGAGCCGCGACTGCTTCGAGGGCCTCTTCCGGCAGGGCGCCGAGGACGTCAACGCCTACCTCTCCCAGCCTAATTAATTACTATAAATTAATAATATAGTTATTAATTAATAGGACGTCAACGCCTACCTCTCCCAGCCAGACTTCCTCTCCAACCTCGAGAGGCGGCCACGCGTGGTGCAAGGCCTCGCGGCCGTGCGTCTCCTCTCCTCTGACGCGCCGCTCTTCTTCTTCTTCTTCCTAGGCAGCCCGGCGTGCGCAAGACGACGCTCGAGGCCCTCGCCGCGAACCTCGTCGACAAGCCGATCTCGCTCGAGCAGTGTGTGGTCTGGTTAATTACTCAGCCAATTAATTTATTAATTAGGTCGACAAGCCGATCTCGCTCGAGCAGTGTGTGGTCTGGTTAATTACTTAGCCAATTAATTTATTAATTAGGTCGACAAGCCGATCTCGCTCGAGCAGTGTGTGGTCTGGTTAATTACTTAGCCAATTAATTTATTAATTAGGTCGACAAGCCGATCTCGCTCGAGCAGTGTGTGGTCTGGTTAATTACTTAGCCAATTAGTTTATTAATTAGGTCGACAAGCCGATCTCGCTCGAGCAGTGTGTGGTCTGGGCGCGTCTCCGCTTCGAGGAGCTCTCCCTTGCACACACCCCCAGACACGCCCTAGACACGCCCTAGACACGCCCTAGACACTCCCTAGACACGCCCTAGACACTCCCTCGGGCAGGGCTCGGCTCTTCCAGCGCCGTGCTCCCGCCCGTCTGGGGCCTCTTCTGAGCCCTCCTTCGGAGCCTTGCCCGCAGGAGCTCTTCCACAACAAATCTTAATTAACTCTTAATTAACTCTTAATTAACTCCTTGCCCGCAGGAGCTCTTCCACAACCAAATCGCGCAGCTCATCTTCAACTTCCCGCTCGACATGGCCACCTCGTCCGGCGAGACACTCCCCCCACACTCCCTAGACACTCCCCCCACACTCCCCAGACACTTCCCCCCACACTCCCTAGACACTTCCCCCACACGCCCTAGACACTCCCCCGACACGCCCTAGACACTCCCCCCACACTCCCTAGACACTCCCCCCACACTCCCTAGACACTCCCCCCACACTCCCTTGACACTCCCTTGACACTCCCTTGACACTCCCTTGACACTCCCTTGACACTCCCTTGACACTCCCTTGACACTCCCTTGACACTCCCTTGACACTCCCTTGACACTCCCTAGACACTCCGACACGGCCACCTCGTCCGGCAGATGCCCCTCCCGCCGTCGCGCCCGCCCGGCACTCCCTTCCTGAGGAGACGCCCCCCTCCCCCCGCCTCCACCCCCCGCCTCGCAGGTGCCCCCTTCTGGTCGGGCCCCAAGCGGCCGCCGACGCCGCTCCAGTTCTCGGCGGACGACCCGCTCCACCTCGCCACATCTCGCCATATCTCGCCATATCTCCCCATATCTCGACTAGGCGGACGACCCGCTCCACCTCGGTTTCATCATCGCCGCCGCCAACCTGCGTGCCTTCAACTACGGCGTCAAGGGCTCGACTGGCCCCGCCCGAGACTAACCCGAGACTACCCCGAGACTTACCCGAGACTAGGCCTCAAGGGCTCGACCGACCCCGCCCTCTTCAAGAAGGCGGTCGAGGCGGCGATGGTGCCCGAGTTTGTCCCGAAGCAAGGCGTCAAGATCGCCACGGACCCGAAGGAGGCGGAGAAGGCGCCGGCCGCGCCGCCGCCCGACGAGGACGAGGCGAGCGACACTTCTTAGACACTCCCTAGACGCTTCCTCGCCAGCTACTCCTTACGAGTCACAGGCGAGCGACGCCATCGTGGCGACGCTGCCTGCGCCGTCGTCGCTCGCGGGGTACCGGATGACGCCGGCGAGACATAGCCGAGATCTAGCCGAGATACAGCCGAGATATCGCCGAGATGTGGCCGAGAGAAAGGCGAGATATAGCCGAGATATAGCTTGCAGGCTCCGGATGACGCCGGCCGGCTTTGGGAAGGTTCTGTACCACCCCCCTTCCACACCACCCTTCCACACGCTTCTTCACAGCTCGTGGCGGTGGACAGGTCGACTTTGAGAAGGACGACGACACCAACTTCCACATCGACTTCATCGCCGCCGCCTCCAACCTGCGCGCGCGCAACTACAAGATCACCGAGGCGGACCACCACCGCACCAAGCAGATCGCGGGCAAGATCATCCCCGCCATCGCCACCACCACCTCGCTCGTCACCGGGCTCGACCTGCCTCGAGCTGCTCGAGAAGTGTCTCGGAAGTGTCTGGGAAGTGTCTGGGACGTGTCCTAGGCTCGTCTGCCTCGAGCTGCTCAAGCTCATGCAGCCGGCCAAGCCGATCGAGTCCTTCAAGAACGGCTTCGTCAACCTCGCCCTCCCCTTCGTCTCCTTCTCGGAGCCCATCGCCGCGCCCAAGCGCAAGATCGGCGCGAAGGGCGCCGAGTGGACGCTGTGGGACCGGTACGAGGTGGACGAGGGCAGAGAGCTCACCCTCAAGGAGTTCCTCGCCTACTTCCAGGAGCCGTCCCTAGACACTCCCAGACACCTCCCAGACACCTCCCTAGACACCTCCCTAGACACTCCCTGACACTCCTTGGACACTCCCTGGACACATCCTCAAGGAGCGCCTCGCCTATCTTCAGGAGCGGCACAAGCTCGAGGTGACGATGATCTCGAGCGGCGTCTCCATCCTCTACTCCTTCTTCACCAACCAGAAGAAGCTCAAGGCGCGCACACAGCCCGCCGCCGCCGCCCCCACGCACTCGCCACCTCCGCTGAAATCCGCCGCCGCCCCAGCCGCCCTCACCGCCGCCGCCCGCCGCCGCAGGAGCGGATGCCGATGACGATGAGTCAGTTGGTGCAGGAGATCTCGAAGGCGGAGTTCAAGCCGACGCAAAACTCGCTCACGTTTGAGATTTGCTGCAACGACGAGGACGACGAGGACGTGGAGGTGGAGCGCATGCCTCCCAGGGCGACTCCAGCACCTCCGTGCGAGCTCAGCCACACCGCCTGGCCCTGCGCAGGTGCCCTTCGTCCAGTACAAATTCCGAGGCTGGTGAGCGGAGGAGAAGGGGGAGAGGGGAACTGTATACGCTCCGCGTCGATTTCGCACTGGGCGGTGGGCGGCGGTGGAGCGCTGGGCGCGAGCGGCCCGCACAAGCCACAGCAGGCACGGGCCCGCCCGCGCGCCGCGATGACGCAAGCGACAAGCGCTCTCCCTCCGCTCTCTCGCCGAACGCCTCGAACACACATTTTGTGTTCATCTGCTACGTTTTTGTGTCTCCTGGACTACTTTGACCAACTCATGCTTGGTCAGCCCCGACGCCCGAGCCTCAGAATAATAATAAAGCGGCAACGCGAGAGGGGGCGCGAGAGGCGCCGAGAGCGAGAGCCGCGAAAGTGGGACAGAGCGTCCACCTCACCTCGCTCGGGAGCTCTGATCTGTACTGCCAGAGGGGCAAGGCTATGTACACCGCATTGCGCATACGGCTTTAAAGCACACGTCGATTCTGCGAGAGAGGGCCGGGAGGGTGTAAGCCGCTGCCGCGCCCGCGGCGCAACGGCCGACGGTGGCGGGCGGCGCAAGCGCTGAGCTCTTCAGCATGCGTTCGCCTCTTCCCACTCCCGGATCTGCCGGCGCAGCGTGTGGTTGGGGGCGAGGAAGCTTTGCACGAGCGCTTCGCCCGTCATCGGGCTCGTCGACTGTGAACATGGAATTTGAATAACAATCTCAATGAGATGTGTGAAGAGGACGACCGATCGACGAATTACACGCGCGAGCTGGCGAGCTCATCTGCATCTCAACCGAATCTCAGGGGGGCGCCGTGTGTATAACGGTCGCGTGACACTGCGCTACGCCATGTCGTCTTCCATCTCGGAGTCGTCGCGCAGCGGCCCGCCCGGGTTGACGACGTTCACGGTGACGCCGACAGGGATGGTCATGGCCGCCCGCTCGAGGTCCGCGACTCGGTGGGTGAGGCGGCGCATCCCGTAGCCGGATATACCAAAAGGAGGGCTACACAAGGCCCTCTACGCTGGACGGTTACGGTTACCATCCCCGACGTGACGACCGTCCAAGTGGTACTAGTAGGGTAGGGGCGTCTGAGTCACAGACCTTGTTATTGAGAAGATAAAATACGTCCGATGGCGCTGTGCGCTGGTCTATGAGAGGTTGAGGTGCGAGCTCTGGATGGAGGGAGACTAGACCCGCGGGCCTAGAAGGCTCGCGCGCGGCAGGGGGGTGGGACATTGAGAGATGAGACCCTCCGGTCATGAAAGATGAATCCTTGAATGAGTTCACCCAGCTGAAGAGAGAAATGGATGGGTGTGACCTCGAAGAAATCGCGATATACATATCTTTACGTACGCCCAGGCGTACGCCTCCTCCTCTTACTTGCTCCCGATCCCCTATCCCTAAGGGGAGTCGATCTGCTACTACTTGCCTGGCGGTCGTTGTATACAAAATAGATTATTGGGCGGGGTGACTCATCGAGGGCCGAGTCTCCCACGGTGGCAGGGCTGGCGCTGTTTGCAGACGAGGCTCGTTCCATGAGCAGCACATGCGTCCCGCTGGTTGAACTGGTATAAAGCCGGGCCCTGCGCCACGGCCAAGGACTCTGAGAATAGCTTGGTCGTTCGCGAGGTATGAGCGTCCGTCCTCATATCTAGCAGAGCCTTGAATGTGGTCGACCCTGCGTCGTCTGCATTCTGCAGCAGCTCATTGAGCAGCTGTGCAGCTGAGTACTTCTCGACAATCCCTCGCAATGTGACGGTGATCTCTTGGCTCTGTCCAAATTCCACGTCAGGAACAGCTGGCGATTCTTCACTTGCTCTGGCAGCATCGTTCCTGTCAGCCCTCAGCTCAGCGGCCGGCATGACGCGATGATCAGAAGTCGACAAAAACTGCGCGGAGAGAGCAGCTCACGGCTGCAAGACTCGCAGCGCGCTGTCAACTGACCGGAAACGCATTTTTTACGCTCAAAATCAACCAAAATTAGAACACGTGTGAACAAGTTCGCTGTTCACAGCTGACTGTGGGCCCGAAGAAGCACCATTGGAGATTCAGGGGAGCAAGAAGCGACTAGCTAGGATCATCTCCGGACTTATAAACCCTTTTTTACAGCAGATGGGACCACATCCTACTTGGACGGCTCCGACGAGATCGCGATGCACGGCTCGTCGAGCACCCGGGTGCCTCACCAGGTCAACCGCATCACTTGTGGCTACGCAGGCCCAACGAGTGATACCATGGCTCGCTCCCACAGCTCGCTCAAGCGCGCAAGCACTGTCAGGCGGCGGACGTCGCGCACGCAGACCGCGCGCAGCTCTTGGGGCCGATCGCGCCACGTCCTTACCGCGGCCGACGAGCACGGAGACAAGGCCCTGCGCCTGCCGCGTCAAGCACGGCGTGCTCGCGCGCGCCAGCTCGAGAGTCGGCACCAGGCGGAGCACGCTGCCGGGGCGCTCGCCGCACAGGTTGAGGAAGCTCGCGTCGGCGGCCGTCGACGCGAGCCTCCCCCAGTCCCACTCAAAGAGCGACGGGTTGCGGCGCGGCTTGCCGCCGTCGGTCCACGTGAGCGCTGCCAAACCGCGCGGGTGGCTGAGCAGCAGCGCAGCCGTGCGGCGGCATGTGACGAGCTGCTCGGGCGTCACGTCGGCGAAGCGGCCGAGGCCCATCTTGATGCGAGAGAGTACCGCGCTGCGCTCGAAGACGGCGCCGTCGGCCGAGGAGCTCGCCGCCGCGAGGCTGCACATGAGCGGCGTGCGCTGCCACGCATCGCCAGCCTCGGTCTCGTTGTCGGCCACGACGAAACGCGAGAGCAGGAAGTGGAGGACGATAGGCGACGACTCGAACACGGCGCCGTCGATGACCGTCGCCGGCAACAGCGCGCGCCCGAGCGCGCGTGCGGGGCAGGAGGGACGTCAACGACGAGCGCGCGCAGGAAGCCGATCGCGTACTCGGCGGTGGCGGGCTTTGCGTGCATGTGATCGACCGCCACCATCAGCGAGGAGAGGAAGCACGAGAGGCCGCGCTCGCTCTGCGCCACCGGCGGCTGCCACGCGCCGCACACGCAAAAGACCTGCTGGGTGCCGATGCGATGCGATGCGTCCTCGTTCGCCCTCGCCATGCGCGTCTGCGCGTACAGCACGCTGCGCTGGCCGCCAACGAAACCCCACTCGGCGAGGCTGCGGCGCTCGGTGTCGACCGACGACCGCAGAGGGCGCGAAGCGAGGCTGAGGTCGAGCTTCACCAGCTTCGGCGGCGCAGAACGCGGCGCCGAATCGTCAATGTCGTCGCCCCCGCCGCCTCCGCCGCCGCCCTCGCCGCCGTCCGCGTCCTCGCCCTCGCTAAAGGTGGCCTTCTCCATGTAGACGACCGCAGATTCCTGCAGCCCAAACTCCCATAGCGCGCGGCCGTCTTGAAAGACGGCACCGAGGTCCGCCTCCGAGTCATCATGCAGCGTCGCAACGCGGAGGATCAGCCTCGAGGTGCGGGTGCCGAAGAGGGCCCCGACGAGCGACCTGAGCGCCTCGACCGGCGCGTCGCGCAGCAGCTCTGGCGCCTCGTCCAGGACCTCGACGCGGCCAGCCGCCAGCCGATCGCCAACACAGCCGTCCGCCGCCGACCTGATCAGCCGCAGCTTGACCCGCTCAGCGTCCGACCTCGGCGGGCGCACAAGCGCGCCGAGTGCGAGGCCGCCCCAAGGAGGGTTTGCGCCGAGGCGTAGCAGCACATGCAGCGTCGACTCCCTCGTCACGCCGTACCACCGAAGCGTCCTGAGGCGGGACACGTCGTGGGCGTGTCGTGGGCGTGTCGTGGGCGTGTCGTGGGAGGGAGGGAGGGACAGAGTGAGCCTTGCCGGATTCATCTCCTTGCTGGAAAAGATGAGGCGCAGCTGGCACGCCGGGAGGCACTGCTTGTCCTGCAACGCCTGGTAGACGGCGGCGACGCTGGCGTCGAGGCTCACGTCGAGGGTGACTGTCTGTCCCTGCAGCGTCTTGACGAAGATCTGCACCGGCGCCGACGCCTCCTCCGGCTCGGCGAGCACGGCGCAGAGCTCCATCCCCGCGCTGATGACATCACCAGAGTCGAGCTCCGCCGAATCGTTGCCCCACCCCGACAGTAGCGTCACGTCGTACTGACGCAGCGCTTCGACGCCCATGATGGCAGAGATCCTCGGCCGCATCGTCTCGACCGTCTCGTCGCTCTGCACGTACAGGGCCTGCACGCGCCCGTCCGCAAACCTGACCTGCACTTTGCCTGGCTCGACGAGCGACTCAGCGGCACGCAAGTCGCCGGATGCCACCGCCGCCGCAGGCTCGACCTCCAGCAGTGGGATGCCGAGGTGGGCGCCGACGTCGCGCCTCACCGCGGCCAAGGGCGTCGTCTCCACGTTGTAGCGGCCGACGACCACCGGCTCATCGACACTTGAGGCGAGCGTCTTGACGCAGATCTCGACCGAGGTCGCCGGGATCTCGCCCTGCGCGCCTGCCGCCGCCGCCTTCGCGCTCGCCTCCGCCTCCGCCTCTGCCTCTGCCAGCACGCTCGCATCTGCCGGTGCGGTCTCGACGGCGGCGGCGTCGCCGGCGGGAAGCGCGTACAAGCGCTCGACGTCGAGGCCAAGGTCCGTGAGTAGGTCGGGCGGGTCGAGCACCGCGCCATCGGGTGAGCCAACGGCCAGGTCGTCAAACGTGGCGCCGAGCTCCTTCGCCTTCTTGTGCGCGTTGCACTTCGTCTCCTTCAGTGCGACCGCGATTGTTTGCTCCCTCTCCGCGGCGCAGAGCGTGACGTCGTACCGCACCATGTGTCCTCAGCGGAGAAGGGCGCGCCTTGTCGCCCTCTCCCCGGCCCGCGTGCTCGTCTTTCTTCTTTGGCCGCCCAGTCATATCGTTGCTCAGGTCGAGAGAGAGAGAGAGAGAGAGAGAGAGAGAGAGAGAGAGAGAGAGAGAGAGAGACCAATGGCCGTTATCCGTTAGTGCGGACGTCGCCGCGGCTCGCCTCTGCCGCGGCGGCTGCTGCGCGCACGCGGCGGCGCCGCTCTCTCGCGAGACGGCTGGCGACGCGGCTCGCCGCCGACGTACGGTGCGCTCGTCCGACGGTCCGCAGCGTGGCGTGCGCGGCGCTGCGCGCCGCTCTGCGAGCGCTTGTGCGCCTGCACTGCCTGTCTCTGTTGGTGCTGGTGGTGGTGGTGCTGCTGCTGCTGGTGCAGATGCTACTGCTGGCGCGGCGCGGCTCTGCGACTGGGCTCGACGCGCGCGTCGCGAGCGTCTGACGCGGCGGGCGGCGTCGGGCAGGTGTGCTTCTCTCTCGGGTGGTGGTGGTGCTGCTGCTGCTGCTGCTGGTGGTGCAGATGCTGCTGCTGGTGCGGCGCAGCTCTCCGACTCGACTCGGTGCGCGCGTCGCGGCTATCTGACGCGGCGGGCGGCGTCGCGGGCGGCAGCGGTGGCGGCTCGCGGGTGGAGGTGGAGGCTGGAGGCTGTGGCGGACCTTTCACTACTTGCTGGAGATGTTGAGGCGCGGCGGTGGCTAGGGGACCATCGCGGGGAGCTGCGCGTCCGGAGGGCGAGCTGTGCAGATCCGGATGGCTTCACCTTCGTTGAGCAGCTCAACCCTCTGGGGAGTGAGTCGCCGACGCCGGTGTCTTGACACCCAACACTCTACCTTAGCTCCTGAGGGGCGCGTGGTTCTAACCACGTAGTATGACTATAGCCCACCACAGACACCCTCCCCCACTCCTCACGTGTGTTCACACCCTCACCCTCTCCTCTCTCCTCTCTCTCTCTCTCTCTCTCTCCTCTCTCTCCTCTTGTCTGTGCTGTCTGCCTGACTCAGGCACTCAATCTGCCGATGCGTGATTGTGTGTGGGCTGCTCCGAGGGGGCCCTCTGTGCGATCCGACGGGTAGGGGGGCTGTGCCCGGGCGGTGTCCGGTGTGGAGTCCCCTTCTGACCCCGCCTGGGATGTTGGGTGTGAGGTTGTGGCGGCTTCGATCCCAAGGGGGGGAGCTGATCCCACTCAATAACCAACTCTCAGGGGCAGTAGGTGGGCGAGCCTCGAGCGCGCTCATCTCGATCGTCAAGACGTCGCTACGCGCGGTCTTCCGCGGGGGGAGCTGCGTCGACGGGTGCGGGACCGCGGCGCAGCCAGTGCCGTGGCGATGCCTCCGGCTGTTTGCGGCGGGCGGCTTGCTGCTCGCGGCGATGGCGAAAAACTCGTCTCGCCACACGCCAAGGGCTTATGCTCTGGCGAGACGTGAGGCGCATGCGCCCAGGAGGGGAGGGGGCATGTGTAACGACACTGCTAGAGATGCCTTTCGGGGCCCAGAGATAAAACTTCTGTGATGCCATGCGTGACCTAGTAGTGTCCCCAGCTATGGGCGTGTCCACGTTGGAGCCAGGTGTGGTGTGGGCGCGAGAATAGCTCCGCCGTTCATGGAGGCAACCGATGCGAGTCGACTGGTGTGTGTCGTCGTGGTTTCGTATCAAGAATTCTCTCTCTCTCTCTCTCTCTGCTCAGGTCCACTCTCTCTTCGAACAGGGTTTCGCCTCGTTGTAAAATTCTTTTTCTGTTCCCCCGGCGACAATTCTGGAATTTTCTTTTTTGTTCCCCCGGCGGCCTGCCGCCGCTCTCTGCCCTCTCGGCGGCCGCCACAGCGAGCACCCACCCGCAGCCCGGGGGCCACGCGGCCGGGCACCAGGCCTTCGATGGCGGCCTCGCCCGCCATCGACCTGGGAGAGCCGCTCGCGGCTCTGTTGACTGTTCAAGCGCGCGCGCGTCGCCGACAACCTCTACCGCAGGTATGAGGGGCGGCTCGCGGAGCTGGGCATTGGCGATGCTGGTGACCTCCTCGACGAGGTCGCTGAGAAGGGCATCGGCTCGCTCGACATCCACGACCGCCAGGCGGAGAAGCTCCGCCAAGCTCTTCTCGGCCGGCGGGGCTGGGGGGACGCAGCTGCGGTCTTGGCATCCCTCAGCGGCTTGTCGCTGGGCGACACCCCGGCTGGGGTGGCGGCTGGCGATCAGGCGGCTGGTGGCGGGGCAGCGGCTGGCGGCGAGGGCCGCGGCGGCGCGCGCCCCGAAGAGGCGGACGGCGGTGCCTGCGACGCGCAGGCCGCTGAAGGTGGGTCCGGAGGTGGGACCGAGGGATCCAGTTTGGACCCCTTGGAGCCCGCGCTGCCGGAGAGCGGCGATGGGACGATCACCGCCGCGGGGGGGGAGGAGGAGGTCGAGGGCGGACGGAAGGCGCCGCGGCGCCGCCGAGGGCGGCGCGGCCGTGGCGCCAGGGGTCGCGGGGGGGGCTCGAGAAGGTGCCCGACACCGCGGCGGGTTTGGCTGCTGAGCGGCCCAACCCCGTGGAGGAGGTTTCCACCGGCGGCGCGGCGCCGGCGGAGGGGGAGGAGGGCGGCCCGCCCTCGCTCGCTGCTGATGGACCTGGACGTGCCCCATATTGGGGGCCCGCCGGCATTACCCCGCCCGAGACGCCGGTCTCGGACGCTGCCGGCGCGCCCCACCCTTTCATTCTGTTAGATGAGGCCACGGGTCCTGAGGCGGGCGAGGCGGCTGCTGAGGCGTTGGCGGAGGCAGCGGTCGACGCCGTCTACGGGGCGCTCGTGGCGGCGACGCTCGAGGAGTGGGCGGGCGCGAGCACGGACAACCCCGTCTCCGCGGAGGACGCTCGAGGCCCAGGCCTCGAGTGTCAGGATTGCTTTGGGCGCTTTTACGACGAGTTTGGCGTGGAGCCGTGGCTGTGGCGCCGGGCGTTGCGTGAGGGCTGGTCGGAGCTGGGGGGCTGGTCGAGAGAGGAGATGGAGGCGGCGGAGAAGGAGATCTGGCGCGGCGAGAGTTCTGAGATCTCTCAGCTAGGCGAGTGGGTCTGCGATGCTTGCTTGGAGGGCTATTTGGGGGGGGGCGTTGGCGACTACTCGGAGCTGCGCAGCGGCTACGTTGCGCCGTATCCGAGTAACCCCTGGATAGGTCGCTCGCGCGACCTCTCCTGGATGCGCAAGGGGCCCATAGGGGTCACGCGGAGGGAGGCGCTGTTAGCGGCGGAGGAGGCGAAGGCGGCCGCGCGGGCGGCGGAGAAGGCGGCGCGGGCAGCGGAGGGGGGGAAGGGCGGCGGCAGCGGGCGGCAGTCCCGCGAGGCACGCCGGCGGAAGGGTTCGTCTTCGCGGGGCGGGGTGCGCACTGCGCGCCGCGAGGATGAGGAGCCTGAGCCAGGGGAGGGTTGGGAAGGGGGGGCGAGGCCGGAGGAGTATGACGGCCTCTTCGACGGCCCATAAGGGGCCGTTGTCTGCTGTGCCTTTTGTGGTGCTAGTTCGTGCCAGTCTGCTGTGAGAGGGGCTTTTATTCGTAGAATTCTTCTTTTGACGGAGTTTTTTGTAAAATTCTTTCTTTTGAGCAAAGCCTTCGCCAAGCGGCGACGAGCGATCGCAAGTTCGCAAGGCGCGGGGCGCTGCCCCTCACTCACGCACCGCCCGGACCTTCTCGAGCTCCACGTCGCGCGCCGCCACCGTCCCCTTCAGCTCCGCCACCTGGTCGAGCGCGTCGCCGAGCAGCCCCTTGGCCACGCCAAAGTCGCGCAGCTGCTCCACGCCGCCGCTCGCCCGCACCTCGGCGGCGTGGTCGGCCACGTAGCGGCGGCACTGCGCGAGGAGCCGCCCGTCGCCCATCGTGTGCGCCGCTTCGAGCAGCGGCACGGCGGTCGCCGGCCCGACGCTCTCCTGCAGCGCCTGCGCGCAGAGCAGCTCGAGGCGCGGCACCTGGTACATCTGCGCCAGCTCCCGCAGGTCGAGCGCGCGCTGCGCCCTGCCGCCCTCCTCCTCGCCGAGGTCGAACTGGTCGGTGAGAAGGTAGCGGACGAGGGCGGTGAAGCTGGCGAGGTCGGTGTTGCGCACTGTGACCTCGGCGGCGTCGCGCTCCTTCATGCCGATGCCGAACATGGTCCGAAAGACCGGGGACCGGGCGCAGAGGTTGCACTTGCTCACGTGCTCGATGCGCTCCTCGTCGTCGCCGACAAGGAAGGTGACCATGCCCTGCGGGAGGGAGGCGTCGCCCCACGTCTTCGCCATGTCGGCGGAGAAGGTGGAGGGCGGAACGACGATCGGGGCAAAGGAGGGAGGCGGAGGAGGCGCCGCCACGCAGACGTGATGGAGGCCACCGCTCGAACCGACCAACAGCGTGCTCCCGTCTGGGCTGATGGCGAGGCCAATTGGGTGGTAAAACTCCTGGGCGTCGCCCACGCCATCGACGCTGCCCCTGCCGCTGCTCGCGACCGTCGTCACCTCTCCCGTCGCCACCTCCACCCGCCGGATCTTGTGGCTGTGGAAGTCCGCCACAAACAGCGCGCTGCCGTCGGGGCTGATGGCGACGCCAGCTGGGTTGCAGAACTGCGCCGCGTCGCCCACGCCGTCAGTGCTGCCACTGGTGCCACTGCCCGCGAGCGTCGTCACCTCTCCCGTCGCCACCTCAACCCGCCGGATCTTGTGGTTCTCGTGGTCCGCCACAAACAGCACGCCGCCGTCTGGGCTGACAGCGATGCCAGTTGGGTTGGCAAACTGCGCTGCGTTGCCCGCGCCATCAGTGCTGCCCCTGGTGCCACTGCCCGCGATCGTCGTCACCTCGCTAGTCGCCACCGCAACCCGCCGGATCTTGTGGTTGCTGAAGTCCGTCACGAACAGCGCGCTCCCGTCCGGGCTGATAGCGACTCCGTAGGGGCTGGCAAACTCCGCCGCGTCGCCCACGCCATCCGCGTCGCCATCCTCGCCACTGCCCGCGAGCGTCGTCACCTCTCCCGTCGCCACCTCGACCCGCCGGATCTTGTTGTTGCCGTTGTCCACCACAAACAGCGCGCTCGCGTCCGGGCTGGCGGCAACGGTGTAGTCATCCTCACTTGCCGGCAAGGCTGCCACGCGGCGCACGCGCTCGGCCGCCGAGACGTGCAGCAGCGAGTCCTCGGTCGCGACGAACCAGGCGCCCGCGTGGTCACTCGCGACACCCAGCGATGCCAAAGGCCCGTCTTCCCCCTCGAGCGGCAGCGTGGTGACCTGGCCGACGACGCGCGCTCCAAAGATGGGCGCCTCGAAGCCATCCGCGACCGGCACGGGCTCCTCGTCCGCCTCACCGCCGGCGCCCCCGGTGCGGGCGCGCTTGCGGGCGGCGGACGCCATTTTTGCCGCCACATTTGCCGCCTGCGCTGGATTCGGGACAGAGCCTGGGTCGGTAGCGGATGCTGCTGTGAAACCCGAAAATTCCGCACGCATGTTGCACCGATTTTCCGCGAAGCTGGCTGGATTCGGGACCAGGTTGGGTCGGGTCGAGTGTCTCGTCCAGTGTGAGAATTCTCGCGTCCATGCGCGGCGCCGGCGCTACGCACAAGCGCTTCGCCCACGCGGCGGCGCGCGCCGAGGAGCTTCGCGCCGGCGGCTGTGACCAGGACGATCTCTTTGAGAGGCTGGCGACCGAGGCTCTCGCGCGAAAGGAGGAGGAGCGGAGCAACCGGTGCAGGAGGTGCTGGCACGATGCGGCAACCAAGTGCATCTGCTCGCAGCTTGCACCGCTCCGCCTCGCGGTCAACGCTCGCGTTTGCATTCTCATGCACCACAAAGAGTTCCTGAGCGCCGGCGACGACGCAAAGCTGCTGACGGCGATGCTGCCGCCCGAGCAGGCGCGGGTGTTTGTGTACGGCCGCCGCGCCGACTGGGACGCACTGGCGGCCGAGCTCGCCGCCGACCCACAGCACACGATGCTCCTCTGGCCGGGCGAGGGCGCGCTCACCGTGGGCGAGTTTGTCGAGAGGCGCCTGCCGCAGTCTTCTCCGTGGCGGCGGGTCGCCGCGGGCGGCAGAGGGGAGGCGGAGGGGGAGGCGGAGGCGTCGCGGCCTCTGATGCGAGTCGTCGTGCTGGACGGCGTCTACAACCACGCGCGCTCCATGTTCCGGGCGCTGCGCCGGCGCCACCAAGGGGCAGGCCACGCAACCTCCTCCCGTCGCCCTCCCGGAGCCGCGCGCGAAGAAGCTTGTATAGGCGCCTTCCTCCGGCCCACGTCCCTCCCCACGTCGCGCTGCACCCGACCAGCCTCTCCGTCTACCAGCGCGCCGCCAAAAGGCGCGTCCGCCCTCCTCCCTCCCGCCCGCCCCTCGGCCCCGCGGCCATCTTCGCGGTGAGACAGCGTCAGCGCCGCTCAACGCCCGCCACGTAGCGGCAGCAGCAGCGCGAAGCCTTGCACAAGGACGCGTCCGCCCGTGACTCCTGCGATGAGTAATTGAAGGCTGGACAACTCGTCCCTCCGCCGCAGGTACGCCTCCGCCTCGGCCGCGACCGTCGCCGCCGGGGCGACGGGCGACGCAGAGGCGCTGCGGGTCTGCACCTTTGAGGGGCTGTGAATAGAAGAGCTGTGAATCGAGGAGCTGTGAACAGGCGCTGCGCGTCTGCACGGTCGAGGCGGCGGCGCTGCTGCTGCAGGAGGTTGGCGAGCCGGAGGCGACGACGCACGCGTTCATCGCCGCCGTCGTGGCGAACAATGGCGCGCTGCAGGCGCACAAGCACGACGAGCGGCGCGAGGCCAACCTCCGGCGGAGAGAAGGGCGGCCGCACGAGCCGAGGAGTCACGGTAAGGCCGCGGGGTAGAGTAGTCAGGTCGCGGGAGAGACGCGGAGGTGCGGTGAGCGTGAGGTACAGATGCATGTCGGGCTGTCGGGGGCAGCTCTCTGACAGCACTCTTGACAGCTACTGAGGAGCTCCGCTGGCCTGGACCGGTGAACTGTCGTTGACATTGTGTGTCGCACGCGCTCGAGACTGTCACACGTGTCAGACTGTCCAGGGCCAGGGCTCAGCGCATGCGGCATGGGGGCAAATCACGCGGCGTGCCCGGGGCACAGAGCCAACTCTCGAGAGAGCCCAACAGCGACACGCTGCAGGGTTCTCGCACGCCGCACTCGGGCCCACTCGGCGCACGGCGGCGAGTCACGCACTACGCACTCCGCGCGAAGTTCTTGCATCTTGCAAAAAAGTTTTGATTGGAGATTGGGGTTTGGGGAAGGTTTCGCGGGGGGCTCGATCTCGCTTCTCGCCGGGCCTCTCGCTCGCCGCCTCGAGCGTCCGGTAGCGTCGGGGACGGGGGGGTAGTCGACTTGTAGATTCACGTGTAGGTCGTGGATTGTCAGGACCACACAAGTCACAACACACAGCACCGTGCACCGGCACCTCGTTACGGTGATCGGTGTGTGGCCAAAAAGAGACATAGAGCCGTATACGCGCAGAGCGAGGGAAAAAGGGGGGGGCGCGCCGTCAGCAATCTTCTAACCCCACAGGCGCCGGGCACAGGGTAAAAGACTGAAGAAGGCGTCCATCGTCCGGAAGCTCACAGAGTCCGGCCTCTGCCCCCCCCCCCCCCGAGCGGGACGGGGCTCCGGCCTTCAGAAGGGGGCGGGCAGGCCAAAGTACTCGTTGGCCACATACGCGGGGCCGGCCAAGTTCTCGTGCACCATGAGCCCGAGGATGCCCATCATAGCGGCACGGCCGTTGTTCAACTCCTTCGACCGCTTCTCGAGCTTCTGCTGCGGGGTGAAGGAGTCCCAGGCGCCTGCAGAGGAAAAGCGGCTATCTATCAGCAGCGACTAAAAGTCTGAACGACCGCATGCGGGCGAGGGTTGGCGCCGTTGTCCACGCCGTTGCGGAAGTCGCCCGGAAACTCGCCCGTGCCGGTCACGTCCTTGCACACCTTGAGCTCCAGGAAGCCCACGAAGAGGAACATCTGCAGCAGCCCGAGCGGCGGCGTCGCCGCCAGCGCCGCGAAGCCCGTCTTGGGCATGTCGGCGAATGCGAGGTCGCCGGCGAGCTTGCCCGGGAGGTGGGCGCCGGCGGCGGCAGCGTGGCCGAGGAAGGCGAGCATCGCGATGCGGCCGTGCTTGAGCTCCACGTACCTCAGCTTCTCAAACCTGCGGCGGGGACGGGGCGGCGGTGGCGGCGTCGGCCTGCTGAGCCGGCGGGCGAACGTCGACCGCGTGGCGGAACTTTGCTGTGCGTGCGGCGGCGGCGGCGAAATGCGCGGCGGCGGCGGCGGCGATCTGGTGAGAGGGAACTCGCGCACTTCTCGGGCGTCTTTGCGAGCTTGAGCGGATCCCACTTGGCCCCATCGTACTCGGTCCACGAGAGCTCCATCTTTGCAGGAAGGGTGCGCGAGAGAGGCGCGGTGCGGAGCGAAGCGCCAGCGAAGGTCGTCGAGACACCGGTGGAGAAGCTGAGCATGGCGAAGAGAGCGACAGAGGCGAGAGCTGGATGCACAAAATTGGCTCCGGGTTCGGGCTCCCGGTCGTGTAGGGGGGACTCGAAACATACGGCCGCAGGGCTCAAGAGAGACGCGAGGGACGCCTGGCCCTTGCCCCACCACCTCGTGTGTGTGGAGAAGTTTACCTTACCTTACCTTACCGCCGTACACGTACCGCCGCAATGTGCTCACGGCGCGACCGGTACTCTGCCCTTACGTGTATACTCTAGGGCCGATGCTGTGCTGACGTATACTAGGGATCCTCGCACAGGGCATGACTCGCGCCTCGAACTAACGTACCTCAATCTCTCCAAACGCGAGAGTTTTTCTGGTGCCAGGGAGAATGACAGTGACGTAGCGGTGCCTGACGCGTGGCAGGGAGGGGGAGGTAAGAATTTGCTGCCTGGCCTGCCGGGGACTGGTAGGGCGCGTGGCGACTAAAAGGCTGCGGCAGACGCACTTGGACTTGGCAGCGTCACACGGCGTCGTGACTGGCCCCTTCTTTATCGTTGACCAGGCGAACGGTCCGCCGCACTTCACAGCTCTTTCTCCAGCCTTCTTGCCGACCCAGACCTCGAAGCCCTCGAGATACTTCTTCGCCTTTGAAGGCTTGTTCTTTGTGTCCCGGGTGACGGTCACGGAGCGGACGGGCTGCTGATTTTCCAGGGTGGCCTAACGTATCGCGGGAGGAGCCAGCTGAAGTGCCCGAGAAGGGGAGAGGGCGCGAGGAACGCCGGGGTGCCTTGGCGGAGAACCACGGGTTCTTCTTGTTCTTCTTGCTCTTTCCAAAGGTCTTGCTTTTGCCGTCGGTCACCTTGGCCAAGAACTGCGAGCACGAGTCGAGGGGAGTGAGACACACATGGTATCGGACGCCGTGTATGGAGCGCGGGTGCGGGTGCGTGCACCCGCTTGGCGAAAGCAGTAGAGCCAGCCGACGTTCGCGGGTTGCTTAGCAAAAGTGGACCCGCCGGAGGCAGTGGGGGCGGCGGGGCCGGCGGCAACGGAGGAGGCGGCGACGGCGGTTGCAGGGGCGACGGTGGAGGCGGCAGTGGCGAGGGCGAGCTGCCTGGTGCTGGCGGAGGTGCGGATGGGTCGGGTGGCGACGGAATGTCGAGGGTCGCGCCAACCACGCACTCAGCCGCGTCGTTGCAGTTGCCGGAGCAGCTGTCGGTGGCCACACCAGGTCCTGCGCCGTGGTCGCAAGAGCCGCACTGGTTGAATCCACCGCGCGAACATCCCGTTACCTCACCACAGAAGGCGCGCACCGCGTCGGCGTCGCCGTGGTAGCCCGAGTCCGGAGTGCGCAGCAGCAGGCAGGCCTGCAGGCAGGAGCTGACCGCGCAGCCAGACGTCGTGTAGCCGCTGCCGGCGGCGCCGTTGCAGCAGGTGCCCCTCGCGTTGCAGTCGGCGCGGCAGAGGTCGTAGATGGTGGGCGGGGGTGACGGTGGCAGCGGCGGAGGCCGCGGGAGGGGTGGTCTCGGCGGTGGCACGGGCGGCGAGGGCGGCGATGGTGGCGGAGGCGACGGCGGCATCGGAGGCGGCGGCAGCGCTGGCGGCGCCGGCGGCTGCGAGGGCATGGGCGGCGGGGACTGCGGCGAGGGCGGCGCGGCAGGCCAGCCCTGCGCAGCGTAGAAGTCCTGCAGCCACTGGAACTGAGGCTTGGGCACGTCGACGCCCGGCCCGCCAGTGTCGATGTTGGCGCAGTCGACCGTGCCGCTGAAGTACAACGCGAGCACCGCATCGACCTGCGCCTTGGCCGCGGCGCCGTGCGTCTCGTTGAACGTGTCGCGCCATGCGTTGTACCAGCCGCGCCCGTAAGCGGGGTTGTCGTTCGGGTCACTGGGCCGCCCCGGGTAGACCCTCTGGAAGAAGGCATTGAACTCGGCGTTGTCGGCCGGCACGAGCTCGCGGTACCGGAGCAGGAGGCAGCGCACCTTGGTCGACGGCCCCAGCGCGCGCGCCGAGTGCTCGGCCGCCAGCGCGTCCGGCTCCAGCGGGTGGATGCCCCAGAAATGGATGAGGGGCGTCAGGTCGTAGCCCGCCTGGATCGAGAGGCGCAGCGTGCGCGCCTGGTAGCCGTAGCCGGCGAGCGTCGCCCCTGGGCCCGTCACACCTGCCTCAAAGTCGAGGTTCTCCTGGTGGTAAGCGCCCGTGTACGCGTCCCAGCCGAAGAGGCGCGCGATGTCGGCGTACTTGGCGTATCCGCGGTGCTGGTACTGGTACTCCTGGTTGGGGTCGTCGCGGTTCATCTCGTTCCCGTTGCGAAAGTTCTCCGTGATCATCCAGTGCACCGCGGCGTCGTCGGGCTCGTACTGGCCGTCGCCGCCACGCGTCGTCTTGAAGGCCTCGTTGAACGGCACGCTGAACTTGACGTGCTCGACGTAGCACCACAGGAAGTTGACGATGGCTTCTGTCTCGGCTGCGTACTGAAACTTGGCCTCCTGCCGCTGCTGCGTGTGCCCCAGCTCATGCCACGTCGTCGGCCAGCCGACTGGATCACGCAGCACCCAAAAGTCGTAGTTGCCGCCATAGTCCGTCTCCGGGTCGTACAGCACGTTGGTCTGCGGGTAGCCGGTGCCGTAGAGTGGTGTCGCGATGAGCAGGTCGGGCATCAGGTAGAGGGTGTGAACCCCGGCGGCCTCGCGGAGCACAGGAGGGTAGCCGCCCCACTCTGCGACGGCATCCATGGCAAGATCGTACGTGTTGAGCAGGGCGAGCGGATCATCGTACGCGTACACCCACGAGCTCGGCACCGAGAGCAAGAACTTGTCCGTCTCCAAGTCGGCCCACGGCGCGGCCGCAGTGCGCCGCGCCACCCAGTTGGCGTTGCTCATCTGGTCGAAGGACGTGCGCCGGAAGAAGGGCGCACGCACGACGCCGCCGCTGATCTCGACGCTCAGCACGCCGAGCGAAGCCCCATACGGCACCAGGATGTAGACGCCGCCGCCGAGTGGGCTCGTCACGAGCGTCGAGGTGCCGTCGATAGCCGCCGTCACGCTCACGCGGTCCATTCGCTTGTGCATGTTCTTGGGCGCATGGTCGTGCGTCTGGCAGCCGATGAGCACCTTGAAGCCTCCCGCGGCCGCCAGCGCCGGCGGTGCCGTCACGTTGGCCACCGCTCCAGGCGCCAGGTAGAGGCCGGTCGGCTTCTTTGCGTCCTGATGGCCGTAGCCGACGGGGTGGCCCCACGTCAGCGGGTGCTCGAGCTCGAGCTGCACGCTGTGCACCACCGACGGGTCGGAGGGCGGCGCACACGCGCCAGGCACGTACTCGGCGGTGAGCCACGCGCGCCCCTGGAACAGGTGGATGCTGCACGGGGCGACGACGCCGGGCGCGCTGAAGGCGTGGTCGATGAGCGCCTGCTGCACGACGAGCATGGCACGGTGCGTGTCGCGCCCGTCGCCCACGTCCTGCCCGCGCATGAACGGCCCGCTCGAGACAAAGAGCGAGCCGTACGTGGCGCTCGCCTCGAAGGCGTCGACCAGGTCGAGCGCGCGCACCAGCAGCGTCTCGTTGACGCCCAGCTGCTGCCCGTGCCTCTCGATCGTCGCCGCCTCCGTCGCCAGCTGCGCGCCGCTCAGCTCCACCGTGCCGGCGATGTGCGAGTGCAGGCTCTCCAGCGCGTCCGCGAGCTGCGCCTCGTACCCACCCGTCTGGGAGCGCCGATAGGCCACCTCGCCGTCGGCCAGGCTGCGGCCGTAGAATGCGTGGCCGAAGGTCGTCGCCGCAAGCTCGCAGCCACGGATGCAGCCGCCACCCGAGCAGTCGTTGCTCGTGCCCCACACGTTGTCGGGATCGAAGCCGGCGTCACCGTCCACCGGACAGCCGCACGCCTCGTGGCCGGTGCACGTTCGAAACGTCGTGTGCGTCGTTATGTCATTGGAGGGCTGGTGCTCGTAAGTGCAGCCCGCCGAGTTCGCCTCTTGGCACGCAGCGATGCACGCGCTGACATTGTCCGAGTACCACGCGAGGTGGCAGCCACCGGAGCAGGTCATCTGCCCGCAGCCGCCCGCGTTGGTCGTGCAGCAGAAGCCGTCGGAGTTGCAGTCGTCGGTGCACGCCTCGCGGTCGGCAGTGAGATCGGGCACGACCGGCAGCGACGACGGCGGGCAGGAGCCGAGCGCGTCGGCAATGGGCGCGGCGGAGAGAGCGATGGCCATCACAGTCGTCGTAGTCCGTTTTGCCATCGACGACGACCGTACGCCTCGAGCCATTGCAGTCCGTTGTGGATGACGAGCGTGAATCTTGAGAGGCACGGCCATCGTGCCAGCCGCACTCAGCACGAGAACGCGGCGCCGAAGTCCGTTTCGGCTAACCTCGGGAAGGAATGTAATCAGCCCACTTCTTTTCCAACTGATCTTAGGTATATTGTTGGCAAATCAAGACACTGATGGTGCGGTGGGCTCCCTCCCGCGATGGGCTCCCTCCCGCCTGTCAGCGCGCTGTCAGCCCTCTGTAGCATCAGGTGCAAAGGAAAGAGTGGGTGGTTTGTTTGTATGTAGTGAGCGTTTTGTCAGATTCTCATTTTCGATCATTTTCGTCTCTCTCTCCGGCCACCATTCTCCCGCGCTGCGTCACACGCCTCTACGCCCTTCGCTTGCGTAGGACGCACACGATGGCTTCCGTCACCGACGACCCTGCCTCCTCTGCGTCCTGCGGCCCACTCTCGGCGGAGGAGATTGCTGCGCTCGCCGCCGACTTCCCGCACTTTGAGCACGCCTTTGTGTACGGCTCTGCGCTCGTGGCGCCAGCCTCCGGCAGCATCCCGATGACGGACCTTGTCTTTGCGGTGCGCGAGGCAGAGGCGTGGCACGCGCTCAACCTCGAGAAGCACGCAGCCCACTACTCGCCGCTCGGGATGCTCGGGCCGCGCGCCGTCGCGGCGGTGCAGGAGCGGGCGGGCGCGGGCGTCTACTACAACGCGTATGTGCCGTGGCGCGGCCGGAGGATCAAGTACGGCGTCGTGAGCGTCAGTGCGCTGCTCGACGACCTCCGTTGCTGGCGGAGCCTCTACCTCGCCGGCCGGATGCACAAGCCGGTGCAGACCGTCAAGTCCGACCCGCTCGTCTGCGAGGCGGCCGAGGCGAGGCCTCGGCATCGGACGTGTCCAGGACGTGTCCAGGACGTGTCGGAGCACGTCTCCATAGGCGGCCGAGGCGAACCTTGCATCGGCCGCCGCCGCCGCGCTGCTGATGCAGCCGCCCGTCGAGGAGGGCTCGCGGACATGTCCAGGACACGTCCGTGACATGTCCGCGACATGTCCCGCAGGCAGCCGCCCGCCTTCGAGGAGGGCGCGCTGCTGCGCGACATCTGCTCGCTCTCCTACACCGGCGACCCGCGCCAGGTGGTGGTCGAGGCGCGGCCGAGCGATCTCGTGTCATCTCGTGTCATCTCGGTGTCATCTCGGTGTCATCTCGGGTGATCTCGGGTGATCTCGGGTGCGACCTCCTTCTCCCAGGCGTCGCGGCCGAGCGAGCTTACCGCGACGCACCGCGAGACGCTGCGGCGCATGTACGCGAGATCAGCCGAGAGTCCTCCAGATTGCCCGAGAGAGATTCACCGAGATCCTACCGAGATCCCACCGAGATCCACCGAGATCGCCGCGGCGCATCGGACGCACAGCGACGCGGTGGCGTGAGACTAGGACGCCGGCCACGGAGCGTCTCGGAGCCGTCTCCCGCCCAGGTACGCGCGGCCTCTCGCGGCGGTGGCTGCCTTGCGGCCCGTCAAGTGGGCGTCGGCAGAGGAGGCAGCCGAGGGGGCTGCAGGGGCAGCGGCCGAGGGAGGCGGCGCCGGCGGAGGGGCGCGGGGCGGCGGCGGAGGAGGTGAAGGCGAAGGCGGCAGCGGAGGAGGCGGAGAGGCGCGGGGCGGCGGCGGCGGCGGCGGCGGCGGCGGCGGCGGCGGCGGCGGCGGCGGCGGCGGCGGCGGCCGTTGCGGAGAAGGCAGAGGCGGCGGAGGCGGAGGCGGAGGCGGAGGCGGCGGCGGAGGCGGCGGCGGAGGCGGCGGCGGCGGAGGTGGTGGAGACATGCGGTACACGCTCTCCCCTTGCCTCGCCGCGCGCGGGCCGCTGCTGGCGGCGCTTCCCCTCTGCGCGCGCGGGAGGGGCGTTCGCGTTTTGGGCTTTTCGACGACCTTTCTCGGACTCTTCGTAGGCGCTCCCACTCTGCGCGCGGGAGGAGCTCGGCGTGACGCTGCGGCGCTGGTCGCCGTCCGTAGATGCGCAATCGGATCGCGCGGAGAGCGGCCGGGGAAGGCGCTGCGCTTTGCTGTGGTTTCCCACGCCCAGCTGGCAGCACGTTGTGGCCGTCACGTCGAAACCGTTCTACTCAGCACGAGCACACGAGAGCGCTAGACCCGCCCTCCCCCTCTTCCCTCCTCTTCGCTGACCCTCGTGGCGCGTGCTCCCCAGGCTGCCGCCCCCTTTGCCCTCGCGAGCCGCGGCGCCAGGCGGCCGCGCCGCCCCGCGCTGCGACGCCTCCCTCGAGCACGCGGCGGAACGGCTCTACGCCGAGGCGGGCGGGGCGCAGGAGGGGGCGGCGCGGCTGGGCGAGGCGGTGCGCGCGTCCCTCGGCCGGCTCGTGTCGCGCTCGAGCACGCCGCAGACCGTCAAGGGGTTCCTCACGGGCGGCGCGGTGACGACCGCGAGGTATGTGGGCGCCAAGCTTGCGAAGCGGCTCGTGCGCAAGTAGAGGGCGTAGCGATAGTCCCCGCCATACTTTAGGAGGACGGTGTGCGGCGGTCTCGCCCAGCCCCCTGGTGTGCAAGAAAGAATTTAACAAAACACCTCTCCAGCAGACAGGCTCGACACAGGTGTGCAAGAAAGAATTTTACAAAATGTGAAAGCGCTCCCTCGCACGACACTGGGGCGCGCAAGTGTGTGTGAGTGAGTGTGTGTATGATTGAGATTTGATGGGAAGGCGAAACACAGTCCGACCAACGACTGGGACACCAACGCGGTATGGGTGGACGCAAGACGGGCGATGACGGTCACACAGGAGCGACACACAGAACCACAAGACAAGAGACACTGTGTGTAACGCATACACACACACTGCGCAAGAAAAGACGCGCCTCGCCACCGACTACGCCGAGGCGACGACAACGAAGGAGGGCTAAAACCGCGGCGTGCGAGCGGCCAACGACTTCGCCCTCATGACGTGGGCGTCGAGCACGCGCGGCGGCATCGGGAGAGAGGCGGCGGCGTGGTTCACCACCAACTTCGCCGCCAAAACCGCCCGGGCATCCTCCGATAGCGAGCGCCGGCGGATCAGCGGTGAGCGCAAGCGCTTCCTGCAAGTGCACTCGACCATCATCGCGAGGCGCAACGCTGCCATCTTCGCCAACAACGCGCACCCGAAGATGGGCGGCGAGATGCCGCGGGCGCCTCCGGACCAGTTCGAGTAGGGACGGGCGGGGGGGGGTGGCGGGGGGGCGCTAACCACGGACTACTACATGCCGAAGGTTCGAGGGCGACTACTCGCCGCCTGGGTCGCTCGGGGCGCGCGGCTCGCGCCTCCGTCGAGGACCGGGCGCGCCCCCTACCCGGCGCGGCGTAGGTCCCACTCTGACGCATATAGAGGGGAGGCACGGTCGGCAGCCCAATCCATCAACTACTTTCATTTTCTGGTGCTTCGCCCTGTGCAACAGCGGTCCGGCAGGCTGCCCCCAAGGCCCCCCGGGCCGCTGCGGGTTTGGGAGTTATTTTTATGCTTAGGCACAGCTTCGGCGATGGCAGCCCCTCTGCGGGGTGTTGCATAGGCGGGGAGTCTCCCCCGCTGGTCTCCTCCTTCCCCTTTTTTCTTTTCTTTTGAGAGCAGAACGCCGGGTTTGTCTTGTATGTGCATGTGGGGCGCGTGTCAGTGAGGGGTGGCGGAGGGCGGGGGTGCGCAAGGTCGGAGGCTCAACCATTCGTCGGCGGGGTTGGAGAGACGGGGAAGGGGGGTCTGGACGGTCGGCGAGGGGGTCGTAGCAGGCTGGGCGTACGGGGTAGCCGCCACTTTCCTGCCTAGTTTCCTGCCTCACAAGGGCGGGGCTGTCCCTCCCGGAAAGTGAGAAACGCCGGGCAGCGTGGTGCACGAATTCAACCTCCCATACGTCTCCTCCTTTCCTCGGGCTGTGTGAGAGAGATTTTTAGCAATACCAAACATCTAACACTCACGTTTGTTTGTCGGGCTGTTCCATCTCCCCATCTATCTCCTTCCAACCTAGGCGGGGCGGGGGGGCGCGCGGGCGCGGAGTGCGGTGCGGTGTGCGTGTGTGCGTGTCGTGCGGCTACAGCAGATGACCGTCGGTGTCGGTGTTTATTTTTATTTCTCGAAGGCGATCTCAAGAAAAGAAACACCCTCGGCCGAAGGCCCGGGGGGCCTGACTTCCCGGCGGTTGTCCATCACCGCCGCCCCGGCCGCCCCCGTGCCACTACCACCGGATGGCCTCAACCATCGTCAGTGCCACCACATGCCGGGCAGCCTACGCCGTGGCCTTGATCTCCATCACTGCGGTCGCGCCCACGCTCGCGTCGGCCACGTCGCTCGGCCCGCTATCGACGGGTCTCGCCCTCGATGCTATCGCCACGGCGATTGTGTATGCCTTCTCGTTTGCGAGCAACAACTCGTCTGTGTACGACCCCTTCTGGTGCGTCCTGCCGCTGTGGCTCGGGTTCTTCTTCAAGAGCCTCGCGCCTGGTGGCGTCTGGTTCTACGAGCCGCGCGAGACGCTCGTGCTGGTCCTGCTGTGGGCGTGGGCGGTGCGCTTCTTTGTGGCGATTCCGTGGGACGGCTGGACGGTGGGGCTGGAGCGCGAGGACTGGCGGTACGCCGACTTCCGCGCGAAGCTGCCTTCTCCAGCGTACTGGGCCTTCTCCTTCTCCTCGCTCCACCTCACGCCGACGCTGCTGGTGTGGGCGGCGCTCGCTCCGGCGTCTCGCGTGCTGCTGCAGGGCACCGCGGCGCCGCCGCTCAACACGCTCGACGCCGCCGCCGCGCTGCTGGCCGGCGGAGGCATCCTGCTCGAGGCCGTCGCCGACGCGCAGCTCTCTCGCTTCCGGCGCGACCGCGGCGGGCGGGACAGCTGCGCCGTCGGGCTGTGGAGGTGGAGCCGCCACCCAAACTACTGCGGCGAGTGCACCTTTTGGTCGGGCCTGCTCGGCTTCGGCTTCAGCAGCGGCGCCGCGCAGGCCGAGCCGCTGCTCGCCGTCGGTGCGCCGCTGATGTGGCTCTTCTTCCGTGCCGCCTCCGTGCCCCTCATGGACGGGCGCTCGCAGAAGCGGCGCCGTGGCTACGACGTGATCATGCGGGCGGTGAGCCCGCTGCTGCTCTGGCCGCCGCGCGGCGAGCTCGCGCGGAGCATGCCCACCCTTGTGCAGGGTCACGCAGACTAGAGAGGAGCAGCTGGCGACCGGGAGTGACATGCAGTACATGGCAGTACATGGACATGGTCCTTGTTTCTTTTTTATTTTTCTGCCCACACAGGTCTCTCTCTCTCTCAGGTACCCAGGTTCCAGCGTTGGAACCCAACATGATGTGCGGTTTTCTTGATCTTGTCACTTGTGCCACCGAAAAAGGATGGAGTATTCTTTTACTCTTGGGGGGGGAAAGCGGGGAGACCAGTGGTGTATGTATGTAGAAAGATGAACAACAGTCAGGCTCGGACTTGACAGTGGTGTGTCGGCCGCCGCCCCCCATCGGCTAGAACCCGAATCCTGCCACAGCGCCGAAAGCGTGTGCCCGGCTCGCTTCGCCCGCCATCGCAAGGGCCCAGGCTGAAACTACGACGATCGCCGCCCGAATTTGGGAGGGTTCCGATCGCGATCGGAGCTCGTCCCCTTACATGACTCTGGAGGGGACGAGCGGCGGGGTGGCGGGGCGGAGTGGCGATTCCCATCCTGCAGAGCAAGGGTCTTGGAAGGACGATCCGCTCGCCGATCCCTTCCCGCCCAGTTTCGACGGCGCATCCGCCTGGCCGGACGCATCCGACGAGCGCGGCGAGCCGGCGCTGGGCTCGCGCGGCGTCACCTTTGCTGACGAGTCGCCTTTGCCGGACCTCGACCGCCCGCCGCTGCCGACCTCGCCAGAGCGCTCTGAAGTTCTCCCGCAGTCGCGGCACGGCAAGAACCTGCGGCGGGCGCTGCGGTGCGGGCTGTGCACCGCCGTCTTCTGCTCGCTCGTCGGCTCCGTCCTCCTCCTCGAGGCTCTCCTCCTCGCGACAGACTCCGTCTCTGCCGGCGGAAGCAACGTGACGCTGGAGTACGCGCGCAAGTCGCTTCGCTCAAAGATGGACAACGTGGTGGTGACGTCGGCGTGCTTCCTCTGCCTGCTCATGCTCGCCGGCCACCAGCTGCGCCGCACCTCGCGCGTGCTGAGGGCGCTCCACCTCCTTGCCTCGGGAGCTGTCCGGGACACGTCCGCGACAAGTCCGAGACATATGTCTGCAGGCGCTCCACCTCCCCGCCTCGGTGCTGGGCGGCTTCGTCGGCTGGGTCTTCTTTGCCTGCGTCGACTTGGTCGCCCCTCCGGGCACCTCTCTCATGGAGGACTGGTTCTCGGTGATTAATAGTTAAAGGATTAAGAGTTCGTAATTAGGCACCTCCCTCATGGAGGACTGGTTCTCCGTCGGGTGGGACGTCCTCCCTGGCTTTTGCACCAACGTCGTCTTCTGCTGCCTCTTCCTCGGCACCTCCGCCCCACGCCTCGCCGCCTCGCTGTGAACAGCGTCTCTTCACACCTCGGGCTGTGAATAGGCACCTCCGTCCCACGCCTCGCTGACGTCCTCTCCTCGCCTCGCCGGGAGCACCTCATCTACGGCGTCCTACATTATCATACATCATTATCATATGTTATTATTTATTATTATTAGGAGCACCTCATCTACGGCGTCCTCGTCGTCTTTGGCCAGTACGCCGTCTCGGCGGCACTCACCGCCTCGTACGGCGCCTCCCTACCCCCCTCCTTCGCCGCGGTGATGCCGTACGGGCACGCGGGGGCGGTCCCGTACCCGCCTCCTGCTGCGAGCAGCGCTTCTTCACACCTGCTGGAGTGAGCAGGTACGCCGGCGGCCCCGTCGTCGCCTACGCCATGAAGGACCTCTTCTAATAGTGATATTGTATAAAATAATAATAATAATGATAATATATGATAATAATATATTTTTAGGACCTCTTCGTCGACGTCGGCCACTACCCGGATGGCTTCGACCTCTCCCTCGCGGCAGCCATCCTCGGCATGTTCGTCGGCGTCGTCGCGGGCGCCGTCCTCGTCAACGTCGCGCCGCTGGCGAACTCGCTGCACGTCGTCGCGCCGCCGCACCGCCCAAACTCCTCGAGCCGCGCCGAAGAGAGAGGCAGCGCAGGCACGCCTGGCCGGAGGGCGGGGCTGCTGCGGCGCGCGCGCGCGTCGATGACCGAGCTCGTCGCGTTGGCGCCGGAGAGCGACCACTACGCTCCGCACCGGCGGGCACGGCTTCCTGCCGCCGAGCAGACGGTGTCCGTCGAGTCGCTCGACTCACTGATGTTTCACATCTGCCTCGTGATGCTGGTGATGTTTTGCGGCTACTTGCTGCGAGTCCCGATCGTGCTACTCGAGCTCGCCTTCCCCGCAGGCACGTCTCTCCCTCCCCCTCCCTCTCTCTCTGCCTCTCTCTCTGCCTCTCTCTCTCTCCCTCCCTCCCTCTCTCCCTCTCTCTCTCTGCCTCTCTCTCTCTCTCTCTCTCTCTCTCTCTCCCTCTCTCTCTCTCTCTCTCTCGCTCTCTCTCTCTCTCGCGCTCTCTCTCTCTCTCTCTCTCTCTCTCTCTCGCTCTCGCTCT